CTTCCAGAATGTTAGTCACATCATGTCCACTCGTCTATACCCTCTCACCTATGCAGTATTATGTGGCTGTCGCATGAGATCGTGACCGGCAGCGCCCCTCGCTGGAGCATGCCCCCCCCAAGGTGCTTAAAAGAAAGGACACGTTCAGCTCTGAACGTCCAGCGATACAATGCGCTCACTATGACACGCTGCTTGTGGGAATGGCGCTTATGAAGAGCTCGCGCGAGGAGCTCCCAGGTCCAGTTATCTAGTGCCCACACGCTCAGCATACCTCGGCTTTTGAGTTACTGAACACTAACTCATTGAAGGTGCCAAATAGGCAAAACACATTTTTGGGGGTCACAACGAGCCGTTCACCGGGCTAAACATAGCGCGAGGAAAAAAAGCGTCCTCATTAAAGCAGCGTTCAGACTTGGCGATGACGTGCTTTGTCGCGCTGTGATGCGCGTCGTCACGCTACCATGTAGTGTCTCCAAAGCCGTAAACTTCAACCCAGTCGCATACAGTTATCGATCGACGCCGACCGCTTGTGCTTTGAGAGAATGTGCAGTATCAGAAGCGTAATCGCTGGTTACACAGGTCTTGTTACCTACGCCTCGACGCGCGTCATCGCGAACTCTAATCGCTGCTCAAAGCAGTTTTCATAGCTCGCAACACCGCAAACTCTTTCTCGCCTCGATAATCACAGAATCGCAAAATCGATCGTTGTAGGTGGACCGGAGCTGGACAGGTATGCTGTTATGACTTCGAAGGTTGGCTGATGCACTCCGATGACTACGAGAATGCAGCACATCTGAGATTTTTCAGCCCAGGAACTGCCATGAGGTACGTCAGAATTGTTTATAGGTGCAAATCGTGAGGAGGAGAGGATTCGGCGTGAAACAGCCTACAGGAGGCTGGCTGCTTGAGGCGATCTGGATCTGGGCAGAACGCCTCTGATTGGCAAAGCGCCTGCAGGTCGCAGCGGAATTCTGCGCGCCCAGCCTGAGAACAAACTCCAGCCCTAACAGCGAGGTCTTATTAGGGTGTCCACAAAGTTCGTTGGCCATTCGTTTTTTGCAGAGCTTATGAAGATAACTCACCAAGTTGAACTTACCGGTCCATGATATAATCTATTGCATTGCCCACCACCTTTCGCCAACGATCGGGTAGAGAGGCAACTCCATCCTCTCAGAAGCCGGCCAGCCGCGACTCGCCCAAGTCCTCGATCACGTCCTCGAGGTCGCGCTCGTTCTTCAGCTGTTTTCCGTCCAGGAAGTTTCGCATGGACCGGAAGATGTGGTAATCGCATAGACTGATGTCCGGGCTATATGGTGGATGCGTGAACGTCTTGATGCCCAGCCTGTCCAGGACGGCCTGAGTATCTCTCGCTTTGTGGGGGCGCGCGTTGTCCCAGAGCAACCACGGATTTGCAAGTTTCTGGGACAAGGCGGCAGCTTTCACCTTGACCTCCTAATTCTTTAGAGAGGGTCTCTGCCGTCACTGTGGCATTGTTGGGTAGGGTGCTATAGTGGACGACGCCGTGACGAGAGAACCAGAAACCTCGGCATATCTTCGATGCCATAGTTTCCATTGGTGAAGCGAGTCCCCCATTTTGACATCCAGTTCTTAGAAGGGGTGTTATCACCAAACTGCTGACGCATCCTGGTCGTGGCCTGACGTCTGGAGATGTCCAGATTGTAGTAGTCCAGCAACTATCACTCATCTTCACTGCTTTATTGTGGAAAGATCAGGAAAGGAAATTTAGAGCTAGCTAGCTCAGAAGATAGCCCATCGCGAGTACTTTCAGTATTGCGAAACCATTATGCAAAATCACAACGCGTTGCGTAACGCGACGCTGTTTACAAATGGCCAACGAACTTTGTGGAACACCTAATACTTCAAGGCACAACTCCGACACATTAACCGCATGGGCAGAAAAATTGGCAGAGCTCATAACCACGAGATTTTGTCTTGCCCCATGAATTCAACAAAAAGCGTGACTGACAAGCTAGATTAGAAGCTTTAGTTCGTATGAGTCTCCGCCCACTGGCTTACCCGGAGTGTGCTTTGCAGAAAACTCCAGATGACACAGAGATCATTCTACTCTCCCATTTTCTGCCCATTTCAGAGCTCATCCAATGGGTTCATACCCGTTCAAACGCCCACCGTATGTGCCATCAATGTCAAATTTCCATACCGATATCATGGCATACGAGAAATGCTGCAAATGGGCTGGTGCTTGTGAATTCTATTTTTGGCGACGACAAACCAGCGGATGCCAAGAGTACATTCCGCCGGTAGCAGGTGTGTGGTTATGACATTTCTTGCTTCCTAATTCCATTGCTGTCAGATTAACAACTGAATCACCTTTTTTATTAGTGCTTCTAGTCCTTCTATATTCTTCCTCCGATAGATTTTAGGTAAGCGGTGTGACTGTGCCAGTCCGAGAAACTGACGCTTTTCCTGCCAGGGTGGAGTTCAGAACGTGACGGACCTCACAAGGCTATGTCTACGAAAGCGCTGAGGAAATTTCAGTTCAAGACAGTTTGACCCTGTGCAGTTTTCGGGGCAAGGGAGGCTTGCGGGCATATCCCGCGGTGGTCTGGCGGGGGGAGACGGATAGTCGTTCTACCTCCTTCCCTGCTGTCAGCAGACCTTGCCTTTAGGGTAATTCTGTCCTGTGAACTGGATGGTCAGCTTCTCTCGGAGTTTACCTTTCGATGCTATCCGACTCTGCTTTTCTATTCAGGGCGAACGAGAGGGGGGCAGTGTCAAGACGCGGCGCTATCGTGATGCCGTGACAGTTCTCCTTCATCACCACGAAAGCCCCTAAAGGCAGCTGGCACGACAAATCTCCAAGACCTGTAGGACTGTTACGACTAGTTGGGCTGAACTCGGCGCCCATGAGCAAGCGCATAGTGTCATTGACCAGCAGATATCTTTTGTTATCGTCCCATCATCTCATTATATTAAAACCTGCCAGTGAAGATTACTAACTCACTTCAATTAGGCATTGCTTATGGTGATCCGCATTTCGTCACCTACGATGGAACTCGCTACACATTCCAAGGAAAGGTCAGTGTTTTACATTAATTAGTTGTTCGTTTATTTGTTTATTATTTTTGCTCTCATGGTAGTGGTCGCTCGTCTTGATTCTCTATTTTCCTTTTGCTGAAAGTTTGGACATAACCGATTATGAATATGATTCAGGGTTACTATATCCTGACAATGAGCAAAGATCCACGACACGATTTTCACGTACAGATTCGCATGGAACAACCACCTAAAACGGACTGTAGGTTGCACATTGTCGTACTCTAATCAGAGCCAGAAGTTCTCCTTCTTCCAAGGAAGCTCTTTTGACAGCTAGTTCATTGAACCTGGTCGTTTTCAGGGAATCAAGAAGTTCATGCTTCTGTGATCACTGGAGTCGCAGCTCGTGAGAACCAATCGGATATTGTCCAGGTGTTCGCTAGAAAGGAGTTTCGCAGGTGTGTTGGAGCTCTCAAGAACTGCAGGAACTCTTTCAGTCGTGATTATTTTTGAAATTTGACAAAAGTGACTTTATTTATTCATCAGGCAATCCGTTCTTCAGATGGCGTTATCGAATGGATATCGTGGTCAATGGACATTATCGATTTTTCGACACTCCTGAATTGAAATTGCAAAGGTTCAGAGGTGCTTATCTGGGTCGGATTGCCGTCATAGAGGCCTAGTCTTCCCCCTAGGGCAGATATCATGCCAATATACACCTACTGTCCAGGCGAGTGGTGTTGATACGCACCCCACCCTGAAAACAAAAAAAAAAAAAAAAAAAAAAAAAAAAAAAAAAAAAAAAAAAACAAAAAAAAAAAAAAAAATGAGGTTTCGGTACGATCCACCCTCCCAAACACAACATACCTTTCGATTTACACCCATTTCAGTTTTCACCCAACGAATTCTCCGCTCTGAGCGGGTGGAGGGGAGGGGGGAGAGGAGAGAGAGAGAGGAGGGAGAGAGAGAGAGAGAGAGGAGAAGAGAGGAAGAGAGAGGCCGGAAACTTCTTTACCACTCTTTCGGAAATTTACGCGAAAATTTTCAGGCTTTTTAATTTCCAGAAACTTTGCTGCAAGATCGGGGAAGGAGGGGCGATATATAGTAGCACATGAAATAGAAAAAAATCATCGAAAACGTTAGCAACGGGGGAAAATTTTTCCCCCAATGCCGGCAAATTTTTCTCAAAAGCCACATACCGACCTTCCTCCCTCCCCTTTTCCCCCCTCCCAATCACCCAATTCTCACCCTCCTCTCCAGCGGAAAAGTACGACCCCCTCCTATGTCATGAATCTGTACGAATATGTGCAGCGCAGAGTGCAGTCGATATTTGTCCTTCTCCCCAACACATTGTCGTTGGGGGAAATTTGTGAGAGTTCGGTAACAAGATGCACAGGGCAGAGGTAAGAGAGACGGGGCATTGATAGACGATAGCGGCAGAGAGCGCGGGCATTGGTCTGAAATCAGCGCTAATCACACATCCCGCTCACCCTATTTCCTGCCAGGAAGGATTACCTCTCCTTGACGTCGAATTCCCTGGGCATCCTGTTTCCTACGGGAGAGGAGTACGTAGTGGAAATCTCGCACTTAGTCGGAGCGGTGTCAGTAGCCCACGCCGGCTGCACTTCCACCAGTGGTGTTCGTTATTGATTGATTCAGGGGAAGATCTACCACTTCTAAAAACGTGGATGGGCTCATTCCATACCTCTTGCTATACGTTTGTGCGTACCAGAGGCGGTAGTTGCCTTCCGAGCCATTTTTTTTCTCTTCTCGAAAATTCGTAGCGCTTCGCATTGGTGCCGATAGCGCTGTTCGGCTCGAGGAGGAGGCGTTTTGCACTTCTTTCTGAATCCGAAGCTGATTCCCCCACCATTCCCCCACGGTGCCGATGCAGACTTTATAAAGCGGGACGAATCGACACCCTCAAATACGATCACCCCGCTGACTGAGATCCCTTGAAAATAATGTGCCTTGACCACTAACTATAGCTGCTTCACTGCAGACGTTGGGCGTACCAGAGACGCCGGGTTCGGCGCCAGCCAGTTTTGCACTATTGTTGTCGCTTGTCCATTTCAACATTTGGTGGAGAGCAGAATGGTGCCGCCCAAAACTCAGCCATCCCCCCCCCGCTGACAGACCCCAACGTCTGCAGCGAAAAGTGCTGTACACTATCACCAAAAAAATGAGAGATAATGTAGTTTCACTTGAATGCTGCATTCAAAAATAAATTTCACCTTAGGTGTCACAATTCGATCACCGGAGCGAAACCACAATCAATCGGAGATTCATGTGATGTTCGATTCTGGCGCTGGTATCCGAGTAGCCGAGGCTCATGGTGTACTGTCCGTGATGACACTTCTACCACCGGATTTCAATGAGACTTATGCGGTTAGTTCAAGGGATGGAATGCATTGACGAGTCTGCGTAGACCTTCAAATTCATGTTCAAAAAGGAAATGAGAGGGTGAGGGGGTGGAACTCTGTGCAAAACAGGTTTAGTTACGTGTTACGATTTCCGAATTCCGAGTAGAGAGAAACCGACTATCTTAATTCACTTTCCCAGGGCTCGTTCTTAAGGGATTGTTTCCTGGAAATAGCGACTTATTGTCATGAATAACTAGTTTTAGTCAAATTTGACACAACTCTTTCGAAATTAAATACCGCATATGGCTGTGATACTTACCACTGATTACCGTATTCGCTACAGAATTATCGCGGTGCCACCTATCCAGATGCGGACGATGGTGGATGGTTCGGTCAGACATCGTCAGCGCAAGAAGAGTTCATTAGAACGATCTCCTTATCCCAGCCATCTACGTTGCAATATGTAGCAGGTACGGTAGCTAGAGCACGGTAGTGAATATAGGGGAAAATGAATGAAATTTGTTTCAGGTGGTCAGCGTTTCGTCACGGTAGGACTTCTTGGCACGTTCAATGGAAATCACTTGGATGATTTGATGGCTCCAGACGGTCACATCACAATCGTAAGCCATCCACCAACGGAACAGGACAATATGAATGCTTACAAATTTGGATCAAGATGTGAGTTTCCATGAGAAGATAACTTTCGTTGGAGGGTGCAGAGGCAGAAGACGCCACGATCACACGCATCTGGTTCATCGGCTTCAGTGGTTGATCATTTACCTTCTTTATTCCTTGCTGGGGAATGATTTCATGGGTTTTTTTTGAATTTTCGAAAGAGAGATGAGACGAGTTCAGGTGCTTTCCTGAAAGTCTGCTGAGTATATAAGCGTTTTCAAAGCCATGAGAATCTTGAAGGCATGGCGCATCCCTCAGGCAGAGCATCCGGAAATTAGCCAAGGCCGAATCGCCTTAGCAGTGTCCTGCTTGTCTATTTTACTATTATGAAAACATTTTGAACGCGTATTTTGCCTGCACCATGACCAAATGATTAAGCCAGCGTTCATTTCAGGGTTATAGCTCACCTAGAGAAGCATGCCACCATCTGAAGGCCTCGAAAAGGATAAAATTCTGGGTCAGGGCGCATCCCTTCTTGAGGATCTCCATAAGTGGAGGCCGTATTTGAGTGATCCTCTCTTGCTCTTTTGTCGTCTA